CCACCCAGCTTCCAGCTGCCAAGGTTGAGAAATGCTGATCTAAGCAATTGGAAGACGAATCCACAGTTTAGCACGGAGCTCCCACAAAAAAGGGTTTGGAGACAGAATCCCGCTCCTGTCCTGCCTGAATCAACAAAACAAAACTCAACTTGAAAAGGGAGAGAAAACTTGTAACCTGAGAAATGCCCTCCGACAGATTTTCCTCCAACACAGGGCAGCTCTGAGAGGGATCCGGCCGGGCCCTCCAGGCTGGCGTTTGGCGGCCGACCCGCTGCCTGGGGAAGCCCACAAGCAGGGCAGGAGAGCCACTCCCTCTCCCCTCCCACCTCCGTGGCTCTGAAGGGAGTCTGCCTGTGATGCCAGAGGCAGTCGATGGCACAACTGGCAGTCTCGGGTGGCTCTCCCACAACCGCCTTTCTGCCTCGGAAGGCGTGGGTGGCCAGGCCGGCTGGCGGTGGCTTCATCGACGGAGGAGCCCAAATTCTGACAATTCTGAATAAACTCTCTCCAGCCCTGGCAAGACTGAACACAGCCCTCTCCTCTGCCTGCGCTCCTGCCAAGCACGGCGATGCCCACTCATGGGGCAGATGTCCAATCTCAACCCACCACCCAACGTTTGCTCTCCTCCACCTCTGATGGGGAAGAAGGGAACGAGGACCGGGGCTGCCCTTTTACGAGGCACTGCATTTCTATTCTGCTTCCCCACCGTGCACCACGCTTTAGCTACCACCCAACTAGGAAAAGCAACTAATTTGGAAATGGAGTAACGGCGTCTGTCCGACGGACTCCTACGTCCGCCCAAGGGTTTCTGCAGAGGGATCACAATGTTCAAGGGGGCTCAGCATCCCTCGGCAGGGAGCTCCACAGGCCCCGGGCACGGAAGGCGAGAACTGTCCGGCCCAGGGGCCACAGAGGCCACGTAGTCCAGCCCTTTGAAAAACAGCTCCGTGGGAAAAGTGTCTGTCTGTCTCTCTGTCTCTCTGCTTGGGCACCATCCAGGTCACAAGCCGGAGGGAGTCACAACAGGCTGGGTTGGGTCTGAGCTCAGCCCGTGCTGTGAACCCTATGACTGGGGTTCATAAACCACGGCTTGCTGTTTAGGTCTGGTGGAAGCTCAGTTAACCGTGGTCTCTTCAACAACCCTGGTTAAGCGAACCCAGACTTAGTGCAGTCTATGAACTGGGACGATATCACAGCAGAGGAGACGGCCTGCATGGTTGCTACGCGAGAGGGGGAGGCGATGAGGAAGGGGCCAAGAATTGCAGGGGGGGTGCAGGGGGCGTTCTCCCCTCCCTGCCAGAAGGCCAAAGGTGCCTCCAGCTCAGCGTTTCTGAAGACACAACACGGCTGTTTCACGCCAGCGTTTCTCTGCGCGGTTTATGTCCTACCACTATGTTGACTGTTCCCAGGTCTGAAAAGATAATAAAAAGGGCCAGTAAAAAAGTAAAATAAAATAAAGCCACTTCATCTATGGCCTGAAACCCCTCCCTGGCTCTGCCTGCCCCCTCCCTCCCCTCCCCGGGTCCCTTCCCCCCAAACCCAGATCTTATTCCAGGCAAAAGCTCACGTACGCCCCCGTCTTATATTATTAATATTGAAGAAGATTATTAAAACCTTCCTATAACTTTAGAGAGAGGTGAAAATACAATTGTACTTATAACTGCTGTGAAGAATATCGGAAGCCGCTGCTTTATGCTTTTATATCTTTTTTTATATCTTGTTCTCTTTTTTTCTCTTTTCTTTTCTTTTCCTATTGCACTTTAGCTTTTTCTGTTATTTTTTCTTTCTTTTCTGTCTTTCCTGTTCTAATTTAGTTTGTAGCTGTTCTTATTATTGTTCTTAAAACTTTTAATAATACATATAAAAACCTTCCTATTCCTCATGCTTTTAGCAAAGTTTGATGGTTTGGGGGGGACATCCCTATTTCCATCTTTTTCTTTGCATGAGTTTTGCTCTTCCCCCCCCCCCCCCAAATCATATTCCAGGGGCAGTTCACCAATATTGGCATTCAATCAATCACCTTCCACAGACTCAGCTCCCTCCATACAGGTTGGGCTACAGCCCTCCACACACCCTAATGGTGCAACCAGGGGTCAACTATGAGATAAACACCCTCAATTATGCACCTTTTTATTCATCCCCCCACCCCTGCAAAGTTTTTAAATCCACTTTCAGATGAGTTTCAGTCTTGTCCGGTAAACCTTGTTCCTCTTCCATAACATCTTTTAAAGACAGTCTATCTATACTGGCAGACACTTTTAAAATTAACTTTGGGATCCATTGCTCACAAACACCCTCCAATATGTCCAATGTTAAAATGTTCTGCTCCATTCTGTGTTAGTATGTCAAATTTAAGTTCTCTTCTCTTTTAACTCTAATCTTTATTCCTTCTGGTTCCCTCTAGTGTCCAACATTCAAATTCCCATCCTCACCATGTTTTCTTTTAAGAATTCAAATCAACATTTTTCCACGGGAAGGATTCTTATGATTAATTTCAAGATCTTACTTCAAATCCATCTGGACCCTTAGTCCATTTGTAACTCTCCAAAATCAACCTTCTAATCACCCCCCTGCTGCTTATTCCGAAAGAAAAGGTTTTTTTATGTCCTTAAACTTATCTCTAAAACTTCTTTTGCTAAGAACTAAAGGAAACTCACCCAGTGCATATTATAAAACTTGTCGATCGAAAGGTTCTTAAGAGCTGAAAAGTACTTAAGAAGCAATTTCCAAAAGTGATTAAGAAATGAGGCTCGGCCGAACTTTGTGTCCATAGAGGGTACATTGCGGCTGTGAGCTTGGTGGAATCCCCTCGACTCCCAGCCGCTCAGCTCACCAGCCAACTGCAGACACCTGCAGTTTACTCACGAGGAGTAGCTGTCCAGAGTCCAAGTGGGCGATCTCACCTCAGCTCTCCTTTATCTGGAGAGACTTGGCCAGCCAGAAAAATCCGCCTGGCCGCCGATCTCGCCACAATCCTTTCTGCTCCCTCGGAGAGGTCTAGTTGGCCATGAGACCTCACCGGAAGTCCGATGCTGGAATTGATCCGATTGATTACTTATTCATCAGCCCCACTCTGAAAGACTCTGGTTGATGCATTCACAACATGGAAAATCTTTAAAAATCCAAATAACCAGTCCTACAGCGGAAGGAGGTGGCTTGTCAGGAGGAACACCCAGGGCCGAGATCCACTGAGGCAAGACAGATTTTAGCGTCTTGGGGAACATCGAGAGGATGCAGATGAATCATGAAAGAGGCTCTAGGATGGTTTTGCATCTTAAAATGGAGCTGCTTAAGGTTTCAGGGACAAGAGCCGGGCAGCTGGTTACCAACGTAGGACACCTGCCCGCCTACCTGTCCTCTACTCAAGAGTTTCCAGCATCAAAGCCACGTGCATTCCTTCCTTGGTATCTCAATATGTATTTTACCTGATTGATCAAGTATGTGCCATGAAGTCAGGGCCGATTCTTAGCAGCCACATAGAGCAGTGTTCCTCAACCCTGGCAACTTTAAGAGGTGTGGACTTCAACTCCCAGAATTCCCCCGCCCCCCCATCCTGCTTGGGGGTTTTGGGGGGTTGAGTCCACACCCTCTAAAATTTTCAGGGGTGAGGAGGACAGCGCCATTTTGCTTGCGAGAAAA